TTAGGTTAGGTTAGGTTAGGTTAGGTTAGGTTAGGTTAGGATAAAAATTCAATACATTTCTTTTCACAGTCAGAGGTGCATAACTCCATTACTTTGAACACAGTCAGCATCCTGTCTGGTTTGTCCACCCCTAGCGGAAGCCACCCTCACGGTCACGTGTAATCTCTCTCTCTCCCCCTCCCCCTCTCGCGCAACCCACAACCGTTGGCAAAACTCCGCAGTATGTGGAATTCATGGATGGTGACCCTTTCTTCCCGATACCCGTTGGCAAAACTCCTACACTCACTTCAACCTGGAGGCGAGTTAGCGTAGCGAACGAGCTAACCTGAAGGCAAGTGAGCGCAGCGAACGAGCTCCAACCTATCCCAAACAAACTTCAACCAGGACGTGATTGAGTCATGCGAACGAGATAATCTTGAAAATTAAGAAGTTAAACGGGGCAAAGCCCGCGGGTTACAGCTAGTGGGTATATAAATCATGATCTATCTAATAAACCAAAGAAAAAATTTAGTGCTAATATAACGATCAATAAACAAATCAGTCAATTAACAATAAAATGATTTAATTGGGAAGGGGAACGCTGTACAGAGTCTAGAAAAGAGCTGTAAATGTAGGAGTTATCGAGGTTCTAAGCAGCGTAAATAGAACAGCGCACTGCATTTATGCACAGCGCAGTCTGCACAGCGCATGCGTACAGCGGCGCAGCTTAGCGCAGACGCGGCCGGAACGATTAGCCCAAGGTCATCGCACTGCCAAGGTCGACTGACAGTCTTGCTCTTTGTTTGGAGACCGGCCTAGCATTCCGACCCGCCTACACCCAACAACTCTACGACCTGCATCTCACATCTATGTGTAAATAGATACTTTGCACTTCCCCAAACCTCAATGCGCATTGAGAAAATGTTCCGATAGTCCTCGAAATCTATTTTACAAAATTACTCCGTTTCGCTCCAAATATAAACATCTTTGCGTAAGTTTTTTTGCCATCATTAATTAGCATTAAAGAAACCTAAAACCAACAACACCATCACATTCTTTAGTAGGCTGCCGGGTAAGAAACACATATATTTACATTGCGAGATAATTTATTGCTTTACAATTATATTACGAGCCCCACACATGAACGAAAAATGTGAAGGCCGTCTTCTTTAGCCAAGACAATTTATCAAAAGGATGAGTAAAAAGTTGTGTCTGGTGACGTAAACTGTTTTGGGGTGCGTTCTAGCACAGAAAACGAGTAGTACGTTTTCTGTGGTTCTAGTAATCGTGGGGGCTAATATAACCAATGGCATACATCAAAATTACGTTTGAACACAAAGCAATTTTTGATAGTTTTTCACACTCGGTATCCTACACGGCTAGATTTGATAAATGATAATTTAAACAAAATTGATTTACATTTTTTTATGTCCTAGGACACTAGACACGAGTATGGTGAATTCAAATAGCAACAAGTATGGTGCATTGGTTAGCATTCGCATAAGTGGCGGGTGGTTAACTAACAGAATTTGCGTTTTAGGTAGTACACATGAGAGAAAACAGAAGAACACTATATATATTATAGCCTTTTGTGATGGAACTGTAAACTGGAAAAATCATAGGGATAGGCTTATCCCAACTCCGCGGTGGTCAGAAATCTGTAAAACCGACTGCTCAACTCAGTAGGTAGTCAATTTTGAATTTTGGCTCTCACAGCCCTGACGGCTGAGAGTTTGTATTTGAAATTTGAAAGTAATTGTAATAAATATACCGCCCAGTACATTATTTAGAACTGAACGAAACCATAGTAGGTAACTAATACAAAACAGAATGCTTAGGCTATGTTTCATCTAAATGATATGTTCCAAAGTCTACAATACATAATTAACCTAACCTAACCTGTCACATGAATAAAGCGGCTATGAACAAATGAAAGCATTAACTTATTTGGTAAAAATAATAAAATTGTTGTTCCCTTCATACATAACAGGGAAAACACTTTCTATTGAAAATTTTTTAGCACATCAAAACATAAATTTTCTCTTTGGAAAGACAAAGTAAAATAGTAATTAAAAGTCTCATTGAAATTTGAGTTTCTCCATTGCAAAATGCTGGGGCAGACACAAACATAAAATAGATACAACATAGATAAAACATACAACTTAAATAAATAACTGCTGTTGAAGAAATAAATTTGGACTGGACATTCCATCGTTGTGTTTCTAATTTAGATATTTTTTGTATGATTGGAGGGGTATAATCAGAGAAAAATCACTGACTGTCACACCAATCATTAGCCCCCCCCCATTAAAAACAGTCCTTACTTCCATCAACCATCAGTATAAGAGAGCAACTCAAATTAAAATACAGAGTTCCGTTAACATAAAGCCCCCAGTTCCCTCCTTGAAAATAATTATGGTAAATCCACACTTACAAAAATTAAAAATACCTCATTCATTCCTCACTCTCAAAAAAGATTGAGGTTGGTCTTGGATCTTGACTCTTGAGGGTCCAACAATGGAAATCTGAGTCAAGAGCATAAACTGTCCCTGACAATGTCAAGACCTCTTGTTTGTATGGTAAACACTTCAGACACTGGAATGCTCAAGTACTCATTCAATTATTTCTCATGACTCATTCACAAAAAGATTTAATGTTTAATTGAAAACTGTTATAATGTATTCAAATTTGGTTAGTATACTAACCAAACACATAATTTTGTAACAGCTGATTAGCTCTACTCCATATATAGGGAATAAGCTATTACCTACCGTAGGTCTCATGGTAAGACCTTGACCCGGGACTGATTTTACTTTTTCGTTTTAAGGTTCCCAGAGGCCAAAAACACCATCCCTTCAATTTCATATATATGTGTCCGTTCCGTTAGTATGAAAACTCGAGCAAAAATGATCCGATTTTGATAAAATTAAGTACAAACGCAAAACACAAAATTTTATAATTTCTCTCCGAACCATTTTGTAGAGCTTAAAAAAAGAAATAATTTTGTATATTGAAGCGTTGTATGCCCAACAGTTACGCAGATAATTTAAAAAATTGTAAATTTAAAATTCCCATGTTATTCTTATGAAGAATAAATAAATCTGTTGTAGTTTGCTTGTTTATGGATATATTTAAACCAAATTTGGAAATTTTGTTTATTTAATGTTTATTTTTGTGTTTTTTATGACATTGCAATAAAAAAAAAACACATCTCAAAATCTTCCCTGTAGCAGCAAACCTAAGTACTCACTAAAATTAATGTTAATTAAATAGGAAATAAATCTGACATTTTTTATGGTTTATTTTAGTAGAAATCCAGCCAGGTAAACGGAAATTCGCTTAGTCTGCAGGTTTGCTGCAGCAAGGGTATTGGTTCAGTTTTGTCTTTGCATTTTCATGTTACAAGCGAAGTACCGTAAAAGAGGAGGGTATGGTATGTCTACTTCTTTAATCTATGGCAACACCCATGTACTGTATAGTGAGTGTTAATAAACTGGGATACAGGTACGACTGATGCAGATAAATACAAACTTATTTGTGTAGTGTTTAAACTGTGTTTCATTTAATAGACATTAAATGAAAGGGTTAGTGTCAAGTGACCTATATTCGGTATTTTAGCCAATTTCCCATTTATGGAATAAGCTATTTATTTGTTAGGCTGTTTTCCTTGTGATGACATCACATCTTTGTTCTAATGATTCACAGCAGTATTCTGGTTAGATTTTCAAATACTTATCTTTATTGACTAGACTAATTTTAGAGAAACAAAATCAAATAAATGCCTTGCCATTTCTCCATTGTTAAAATTTAAAGAAAGAAAAGAACTGAGAGCAGGCATAGCTTTGGTAGCTCCATTGAATTGGAAGGTGCAACAGAAATGATTTTGTGACATCATTTCGATAATATAACAAATAAATGTATGATAAATTACTTAGCATGGAAAAAACCGCAGATTGCGCCATACTAAATGCTGTGTATAACCAACATGTTAATGTATAGCTTTTATAGCTTATCAAGATCATGAATAGTAAAAACAAAGTGTACTCCAAATTTGTAGGTTACTACTTAGAATGTGTCTACTTTTTTTCTGTTATTAAACCCAATGGTTTCACTTTTGGCAACATGTTCCCCAATCGGCCCAGATGCTAACCCAGTTTTCACCACTATTTTTGATCAATGAAATATAGAGATTGATGTTTCCATTGATTCAGTATCCTTGATCAACTTTTCATCAAGAATAGCGTTGTAAATCTGGAAGGATTATCCCCCAGACATCACATGGAAGAGATTGAAACTTCTTGTGTAACTCCTTGTACCTGAAAATCCTTGTTTTGCAACTTTACTGAATAAGATTACAACTAGTACATCATACAAACTTTGGTTCAATAAAAAAAAATACCTAAAAAATAAATAACAGGAAACTAATTATATACCAACTGATCAATTATAGAGAATATTTTTTAACACAATCCAATTTACTAGTTAGGAGTACCAAGAAACTGTCTCATAATTTAGTATCCATGTTTTCTTTACTTTTTGCCTATCAGCTTATAATCATTGTTGCATTGTTTTTACAAGATTTTATCTTATTGGAAAATAATAGGGAAAAAGACTCAACATGGCGTTTTTGGAAACTCAAAGAGTAAAATAATATGTGAAAAGTAAATCATTTCGAAAGGTTTGAATAAATTATCTTTCCACTTCCAGTCTGATTCCAGTATAAAGATAAATAATATATTTTTAGACTTTCTAAAAAAATTAAGAAAACCAAATCTGTAGAAAACATTGAAGCCTACAATACATACTGTACTCTTTGACCTAGCAAAACACTGTGCTGAGTCTTCTTCACAATAAATTACCTGTAACACTCTGTGTAGGAAACAATGCAACAATGCATATCAGCTGATCAGCAAAGAAGTACAGGGCTACCAACTTAAGAGCTTCTTTTGTCCTCTTAAACAGTGTATCTTACTTGTCTGTGGTACTTGTAATTTGGGTTGCGTATTAAAGAAAACTCCATGAATTTAATAACAAATAAAATTGTAAATGTTATGTTATATTTTACAATATGTTTTATTTTTTAATATTATTTTTGGATTTTAAGTCCTCAAGAGGTACCAGTGTATTAAGTAGTTTCTCATTTTGTTTTTGAAGCTGCTCTGCTAATTCCCTTCCACTTTTGTACCTTCTAACTGAACTTTTTAAGGATACAAGATTTTGAGAGTAGAGTTTAGGATCAAATAATTTATCCAAAATATTTTTCGTATTCTTATCAACATCAAAACCATACTTTTCTTTTTCTATTGGGTGCGTTATTTTGTAGTTTGATTTTGATTTTTGATATCCGATGGTATCATAATTTCTAATAATTTTTCTCCGTACATGTGATTCGTTGCATGATGAATCTGTTTCTTCTTTTACAGTTATTTGAGATTCACGGGTGCACGTTTGGTGGGGCTCTTGTCTTACTCCAGTTCCTTTTCTGCTCAAGTTTGGATTTTGAGGTTTGCTTTTAAGTTTCTTCAGAGCATTATATAGTTTGATGGACAACACAGCTGGCATAATATTTCTTTCAGGAGTAAATCGTCTTCGGTATGTAGTGTTCCCTTTATTAGATATAATCACCGGTGCGTTATTTTGTCCATCGCCTATTGATTCCAGCAATCTTTTACTTTTCATGAGACCGTCATGAAGTGAGTTGAATTTTTCCCTTCTTTCTTTTATATTGGTGGAACTAATACATTCTCTCTTTACATTTGTGCTTCTATTCACTGATGTTCTCTTATCAACAATAAATGAAGGTGGTTTCCTTTTGCTTTTCGTTGGAAATATTAGGCCTGTTTTTTGTTCTGAATTATTTTTACTGCAGGTAGAACACTTTAAAGATGTTAAAGATGTAACACCTGAATTTAAGCTAGCTTTATCAGTCAAGACTGATTTTTTTGACAAGGATGAATGCATGGAAGGTGTTTTGGGCAAGATTTCCCTATTTTGTGTTTTATCCTTACTTATTTTTTTGATAGCCAAAGAAGACTTTGAATGGTTCATTTGCGTCTTTTTATCTTCCGTTTCGACTTTTCTTAAACTTACTTGCTTACTATTTGACACGTTCCTAATATCAGCAAAGTTTAAAAGTTCCTGAAAATCATTACTCTTTGTTAAACGAATCCTGTCCACATTACTTGGAATGCTTCTCTTATTGTTATTAATTGCTGTAGTGTTTTTTTGTTGCTCATTTCCGTCAACTAATTTTGTGGACACTTTTTGGATAGTCTTCGCATTAGATTTTCCTTCAAAACCTTTCAAAACACTTAAGGGTTTAAGAGAAAGCGAATTGTTGTTGGCATGCTTTTCATCGGTATTATTACTTTTTGCCGTCATCAATTGTATTTTTTCACCAGTACTGGTATTATTCATTTTTGCAGGGATATAATGTTTTAAGTAACTTTCTGGTCTTGCGTACACAATTGTCTTGGTACCAAATTTTCCTTTCTTTTTGTCATTTATGATGTATTTGTTTGGACTATTGAGACTGTTATTAGCTTTTTCAGCCTCCTTGCCAATTTTTAGAGTAGATTTTGGGTTGTTTAAGACTGGATCACTTAAAGGAGATTTTTCTCTTAATGTTTTACTACTATCAGGTTTTGAGTTCCCAGACTTTGACTTTAAATCTATTATTTTTGTCTCCACACTCTTAAGTTTTGAGCTTAAATTGTGTTTTTCATCTGCTTTGCTAGCAACATTTTTGAGATTATCAAAATTATTTTTAAGAGGGTCCCTTGGTTTCCTCTCTGCAGCTTCTAAGTTTTCTTTTTTAATGATAGATTTTACAAGTTTAATAACATGATTATCTTTCTCAACCTTAGAAGGTTTGTTAATTAGCTTTGGACTACTTAAGGGTGAGACAATATTTTTGTTTTTAATGACCTTGGCCAGTCTTTTTACTGGAGCTGATTCAACATCTTTGTTTTTATTTGGATTGCTTCCTCTATTGTTAATAAGTACACAGTCTGCTGATGTACTTATTTCATATCCACCCTTATTCAAACAATCATGGGTTTTAACTTCTTTGTAGCCATTATTTAAAGTATTACGAGGTGGACTTTCAAGAGGACCATACGTTCTACTTTTACCACTTTTCAAATTTCCATCTATTTTGATTGATTTGACCTCCTTTTCTGAGTTATGACTGACTTTATTCTCTTCCACAACATCGTTTGATTTGGTAAAAAAACATGTATCTTTGTGATTACTTTCCTTGGGTGGTACATTTTCTGAATACATTTTAATAAGGTCTTTGTTACCATTTAAATTCAAATTTTCAGTCATATGTTTTAAGTCTTTAAGTTTTGTATTCAAACTCCTCAAATTTGAATTTGAGTTTACCATAGTTCCTGCAATACTTTTAAATGTGTTGATTTGATTACCCTTTTCTTCTTTCTCATTTATTTCGATTTTACTATTTTCATCTATTTTGATGCGCTCATTGTGAGCAAAATTTTGTAGAAGCTTGTTTGCTTGGCCTTGTGTAGATTTTATATTTGCTTCTTCACTTTTAGAGAGATGGTCCTCTTTAAGATGATCTTTTGTAACTTCTTTAATACTGGGATTTGGTTTTATTAAGATTGGAATTTTGTTTTCACTTTTCTCAGATAATTTATTAATTGAACTTACACTTCCATGGTCTTTAATGTTAAATGCATCAGTTTCTGAATTCTTTATTGGTCGTTCTTGAGATAAAATATCTTTTTCACATCTCTTATTGCACAAAGCTATATCTTTGTCTTCTTTACTGTCTTTATTGCAATCAGCTAAAGAGTACTTTTCACTAACTTTGGTTAATCTTCCTACCAATTCAACATTTTCTTCTTTTTTGACTTCCATCTTCCATTTTTCTAATCTATCTACTTTAGATTTCCACTTAGGGGAATCTTTCAAAACTTCATTTTCTTGGGACACTTGCAAGTCTTTTGAATTTGTGTTCAAATTAACATCAGGGCTTTCTATTCTTTTTTCAGCTGATTGTTGTGGAAAAATATTCAAATCTGAAATGTCATTTTCCATACAATTATTTGAAACTTCATTCAAACATTCTTTTGAATTGTTGTTTATCAACTTAGAGCTACCCATCGCAGATTTCAAGTCACTTAAAGAGTTGCAGGAATCTTTTAACAAAGTGTTATTGGTTTTAGATTTGGTTTTTGTTTCCTGCTTTAAATCTTCACTCGACTCCATGGCCTTCTCAAAACCCTTCTGAATAAGTTCTTCTTTTGATGAGACATTCAGATTTTTTACTAGCTTTTCAACTGGACCGCTTTTCAGCGCAACACTCTTTGACAAAGTTTCAGCAGTTTTGTCATTGTTACAAACTAGCTCCTCAGATTTTCCCTTAATGTTGTCTTCATTTACGGTTTTAGTATATTTCTTACGCAATCGCTGTCCCCCCTTACTTCGATATCTCGATGTGTAAATATTCCTCACTTGTATATTTATTGGACATATGTTTAGCTTACAAATTGTCATAAGACTCTTTGTAGTCAAATTTGGCTCAGTAGAACCTTCATCAATGTGAGGTGCCAAAGTGTCATGTGCAGATTTTGTTGTGTTCAGTGATTGAATGTGAATTCCTCTTCTTCCGCCATACATCTGAAGTTGTAGAGGCTTACAAAAGTCTTTTTTAGAATGAAGTTTACGCACCTTAGTCAGATCAAATTCAGTTTTGACTTTTGCAGGGCTTTGATCTATCCCTTTTGACTTTTTAGGCACACTTGATTTAGTATCTAATGTGGGTTTGGGATTAAAATGTTGTCCATTTTCAGCAGGAAAAATGTTAGAGCTGATTCTGTTTAGTTTAACTTTTTTTGGTGACTTTGGTATCTTGGAAGGAGTAGCCAATTTTATCCTTGCCTCGTTTGGATATTTTTTCGTTGTTTTACTTATTTGCTTAAAAATATTTGAATTATTTCCAGACATTGAGAGTACATTTGGTTCCTCAAGAGTGTTATCTGAAGGCTTATGATTTGTGACATTATCTAAGTTTGTTCTCTTCAGTCTTTTTACTTTTCTTACAAGTGATTTTTGTTTGTTTCCCCAAACTTTACGAAATGAATTTTTCTTGATCTTACCTCCATGGTTTTTTATTATATTATTTACGGCATTGTATTTGTGAAGGCTTGAATTTGAATTTTTTGAGTTTAACACTTTTCTTTTAAACAAATAGTTAGTTGATCCGTCAGCACTACCACTTTTGTTTGTGTTTGAACTAACCTGAGTATTATTTTGCTGGTTTCTGTTGTCACATTTTGTATTCAAAAGTTCTTTGGATGGACCATTAGAGAATGTATCATAATTCATCTCGAGTTTGTCAGTTACATCACTTTTTGGTAATGGCTCAACGTCGTTTTCTGCTGTAACATTATCTTTGTTGCACAATTCTTCTGCATCACAAACTGTCTTTTCAATATTAGTAGGAATCGTCTGTGGTTCTTTTTCTCCAGTTTCAATACTATCATTCTTTGAGTTTTCACTGGAAACCACCTCAAATCGTTCATTAACTTCTTTGGTTGATTTATTTCTGGATAAACTATTTTCAAACTTGCTGTAAAGATTCTGTATTGCATCATTGATGATTTTGACTGATGTGTCAACCCTTGGAGACTGGTTCAAGTCTTTTGTTAGAGAATCAGTTAACACATTTTCACTACACACTGCACAACATGTAGACTCATCACAAGTATTTTCGTTTTGCTTTTTATCAACAAATTTTAAAACTGATTCATTTTGTATGTTATCTTTTACAACCTCCAAAGTCTCAACTGCTTTCCCTTTCGAAACTTGAGTGTTGGACTTATTTTGTGTCATACTCTCATTGACATTGAATGCACTTTTTGGTTTTTCAATAATCTTTGAATGATTATTTAAATCCATATACAATGGAAATAAGCGACTGTTATTATCTTCTGTTGACAATTTTTTGTTTGGATTTTTAAAGAGCAACTTACAATCAACGTTGTTTGCTACAGGTTCCATGCATCTCTCAGAAGCTTGACTGGTTTGGTTTGAATTGATTTCGTTACTTTTAACTTTTGTTTTCACAGAGGCTGGAAAACCAGGTTTTTCAGGAACAACATTCTCTAATGTATCAATGTTCTTTTTTTCTAAACCATTCTGATCTTTCACTATCGGTTTTAATTTTTGCTCAAAAATGTCGTCCACTTGTACTTTTTTCTTGGATTTGTTTCCAACCTCTGGAAATTCAAATGATGACGAAGTAATGTTTTTAGACTTTGTTGGAGTCTCTACCATCGGGATTGCTGCAAGTTTACTTGTTGGTTGCTTGGACCAGCCTATTGAGGATTCTTCTAGAATCTCTTTAACATTGCGTTCATATAAATCTGCAGAAGTTTCTTCTGAATGTTTTAGTTGTTCTTGATTCTCAAAGGGTAACTTATTAGGCTCTAAAGGTTTCTCTTTAACTTTTGAATCTAAAATGTTTATGTCACTCAGGGCTTTTGTGTATGACGTCATATTCAGTTTTGGACTAGCCAATCGATCCATTAGTAATCTGTATGTTTTTCTCAAATCTAAAGATTGTCTTGAATGATCAGTTTCTTGTAACTAGAAAAAGAACATTTAATGTACATTAGAAAGTCAACCTCATTGAAAGTTTTGTAGTGAATTAAAAGGTAGTTATTTTCCCCCTTTAACCCCTACCTACCCCGGAGCACCTGAAAAGAGCCCGGGTCTCCACCGGTACCAGAGCAGGATGCTAACTCATGGTACTTTGCGACTCTCTGGAATGTGACCGGCAGCCACCCCACCTTGTGCCATCATTATTTTCCTCTAAATTTTACATAATCTGCAGTCTCTCTTTTAACTCCATAAGTCTTATCGGATGTCGGTAGTGAAAGAAAATATTGGATTAAATAAAAGACAACTGAAAATCATTTGTTGGTCTTATTAGTCATTACTTTGTTTGAGGTAATAATGTAAATTAAATGTCCCCCCATGTAAACGTAAATTGATTGAAGTTTACTGCAAATATTAGTCATATTGTATATTATGATTGCAGCACACAGGAGTAGGCCTAACAGTCAAGACTTTAAAACTAATTTGTCCAATTTAGCACAATACGCTATTTTCAATCTAAGTTTTAAATGAAAAATCAGGCTTAACCATGTGTCATAGTTTCAAATCAATTTTGTTTTCCTCATGCATTTCAACTGTGTTAGGGTGTTATTGTTACTATCTCCTTTGACGACCCGCTGTAAAGGTTCTAGAAAGAGCATGGGCTCTTTTCAGGCGTCTACCTATCTGAATTTTCAGGCTATTTTCAGAAGCGCTATTTTGCCCTGCACAATGTACGAAAAATGTGATAATAATATAGAAGAATTTCACAATATTTAAAGTCTTTCAAGTGTTGATGGTCTTAAAGTGTTTAACTGTGTACACAATTTAATTGTTTTTATCACGATGAAAAGTATTTTAAGCCAAGATTTGAAATGCTTTGAACACTTTCAATATTGTAAATCGTCACTATGTTTGAAAATGAACTCGTTTCTGTCTCTAGAGTTCAACAAAAATCACTACCAAATAGTTAGGATACTAATTGAGGTATTACTTCATAACATGTTGATTCCATACAAGTGTGTATAACAAAGAAATAGTCAGCATGCCCTTATCTAATGATTGCCAATTTTAGTACAAAGTTCTTAAAATGGTACCTATCAGTAATGAAAAAAAATTATCACATTTACCTCGTCATACAGGTTAGTGGATGAAATTTCAGTTTTTATTGGTGATTTTTGTGGCGTTGAAACACCACTGGATTTACTCTTATTCTGTGGCTTTGGTTTTGCTTTTGAGGCCTAAAAAAAGTAAAATTGTCTTTAAAAATGTATTGCTATTAACTAACATATACAGGTAGAATCTAGTAGGGTGTCGAGTATTGATTTCAGACAGACTGTTGGTACAGTTCGGCCAAAACTTATGTGTGCACGGACGGGTCGCTACTAACCAAACTAAATCATACGGGTACGGTTATTGCCAGTGCTGGGGGTAGAGGAGAGTGAGTAGCAAAACCCAAATGTTTTCACAAAAGTACCCCTGACAACCCTCTCCTAGACCCATCCAGATCTGGTCGCCTGCACAGAAACTTTGGCCAAACTATAGGTACTACAATGATGAAATAAACATTTTTTGCCACACTACTCTGTTTTAAAGGACTTTCCATATGCTTGGATTTAGTTTGGAAACAGCTGTTTGCCCCCTACTCAATCAAATGGAATTTAATTTTACTACTGTGCTACTGTAGTCTACCGTAATGAATTTTGCTGGCCACCAACTGATCCACCATAAGGAGGGCGGGGGGGGGGGGGGAGTGAGTACGGAATATCTATATATATAAAAGGCAAAGCCCTCACTGACTGACTCACTCACTCACTCACTCATCACTAATTCTCTCACTTCCCATTTACCTAGGAAGTTGAAATTTGGTACACTGATTCTTTAGGCATTAAATAGGAAAACTAAGTGGTTTTTATTCTGATCGGACTCTCGGGCTCCGCCCCAGTGGCTCTGGAGTTTCCCATGTTAACCTAATGAGTACTCATATTTAAATGGAATAAATGAATCTTAACAGCTGTTTCAATTAAACAAGTTGTTTCTGTTCTATGATGTTCAATAGCATTAAAGTTACAAGGATAACCAACAGAGTGCAGCACTATTATTTTTTTTAAATATATTTGACAACAGCTAATTTTAAACCAAAAGGTGAGTGAGCAAAGCGAACGAACTTCAACCCGGGGGCGAGTTAGCGTAGCGAACGAGCTAACCTGAAGGCAAGTGAGCGCAGCGAACGAGCTCCAACTTAAAGGTGAGTGAGCGTAGCGAACGAACTTTAACCAGGACGTGTGAGCGCAGCGAACGTGCTCCAACCTAAAGGTGAGTGAGCGTAGCGAACGAACTTCAACCAGGACGTGATTGAGCCATGCGAACGAGCTCACATATGAAGTTAAACGGGGCAAAGCCCGCGGGTACAGCTAGTCTCCCAATAAAGAAAGTGATCCTTTCCCAAAAAGTGTTTAAATTATAGGTACAAAATTGATGTTTTTGTTTATTTTTACTGAATTTGATTTGTGAGTAATTTAATTTTCATTGTTTTTAAAATTTAGAAACTTACTTTTGTGACCTCTGCAGTGTGAATTATTTAACTATGTTTTATTGCACAATCTGAAGACCTGTGGTTAACAAGAGGTCTCATATGGATTTAACCAAAACTCAAATTGTTTAGTCTCTTTGTAATTTACCTTGATAAGAATTTTTTAGTTTTTACTATTGTTTATTATAATGACTTTTCCAATACAATGTATTATTTGTTATTTTGGAATAAAGAACTTATGACTTATATGGGGGGCTCGAGCCCCCCTATCCTATATTGATGTAAGCCCATGAGCTGATTGTAATTGGTAAAATATTAACAACATAATTGGTAGATATTAACAACATCAACGTAACAAAGTTATCCTTACTTACTTCATTTTAAAGTAGTCTGAAACTTAAATGACAGTGAGTGGTTGGTTATAATGAAAACATAGCCTTTATGAGAAGTTATCTGGTACCGGTAAGTGTTTAAGTTGGTGGGAACATAACGAATATTGAAAGTTTTTAAAATTGTTAATTGCTAATTGGTTTAGCTTAGTAGTATGGCAAAAAATATTATGTCACTCATCCAAAATGTGAATACTGTACGCAAACACAGATTTTTCCAAACTAGTAATGTAATACAGTACAATTTCCATAAAGCATCCCTAAGGAATAACATAACAATATTTTAAATGTAATAGGCCTACAGTATGTACCAAAACCAGCCGTTCTCTGGGTCGAATCTCACAACTGTCAAATACAAACATATGTCGTAATATACATAATTTTAAAGCTATTTTTTAACCTAGCAATTTAGGTAAAACTAAAAAGTTTTGACCATTTTTTTTTGTTTGAAAATGGTGGATTTTTTGTCAAAAGATTCATATTATTTAAGTTGCCTAGGCCTACCCTATATTTTTTTGCAAAAACTTATATCTCTACTGTGAATAAAACTTCAAATTCATGAGCCAAGCAATATTTCTGTAATATTGCATATCACAAAAAACTAAAATGTAGCCTATAGTTAGATAGCCAAAACATAAAAAACTAAATTAGGCTATATCTCAAATTGCATTCCATTTTAAAGATATTACATTTCCACGCAACTTTCGAATTTAGAATTTATCCGTATTTCTCTTAGTTTTCGAGTTATCAACTAGAGAAACATGATTTCCCCATATTAAACTCATGTTATATTTACAGCCTCATAATATTATTGAGTACTGTGATGAATAAATCACTTGCTTTCATAATCCTTTGCTGGTTTTGAAAACTCAATTATTTGGTTTACTAATTTGAAAGAAAATGGAAATCTTGCTTAAAATTATACCAGAGATCTGATACGAAAACCATGTTTATCGGACCGAGATATTTCAACTCACTGAAATGAGTACCGGTACCATCAGTTTATTTTAATTTTCAGTTGAAGTACAACTAAATTTATTCTGAAACACCAAGGAATATAAATGTTCAGCTCACATGGCATTAAAAAGTTGACCAAAATAAAATATCTGAAAAAACTAAATAAAAAAACTTACTTCTTTTAAAAATGATCGAACAAACTGGTCTATGAATCTTCGCATATTGAAATGTTCTGAAACAAAATACATTATGTCAGTGATGAAATACAGGGTGTACCTATATAAAGTCCCGCACGGGCTTAATATTTTCTAAACTACAACAGATAAATCAATAAGATTTGGTACATCAACACCACACCTAAAAATCTACTTTTTCAAGGAAATATGAATTTTCTGTCATATCATGGGGACGTCTCGCAAGGAGTCAGAAGGAAATCTTAAATAGGAGTATAGGTCAATATGCACATCAGTTTAAAGGGCTTAGCTAGCAGAGTTCAATGCCGCAAATTTGAACTCAAACGGACAACCGAGCCAAGAATGACAGTTGTTCAAAGATTCATTTAATTTGCATTGCTATTATACGCTTACTCCTCAGGGGGCACAGACCTAGGAATCGAAAGAAAATTGTTAACGTAAGCATAGGTCGATTTGCACATCAAATTAAATGTCTTCACTAGTAGATTACAATGCCGTAAATTCAAGCTCAAAAGAACACCTGAGTAAAAAATGGCAGTCGTTCAAAGACTCAAAATGGCAGATTCAAGAAATATTTAAACAGCTGCCATTTTGAGCATGATCAACCTTTTGAAGTGGGGTTTGCGGCATTGTATTCTACTAAAAAAGACCTTTCATTTGATGTGCATATTGACCTATGCTTCCATTTAAGATTTCGTTCTGACTCCTTGCGGGACTTCCCCATGATATGACAGAAAATTCATAGTTCCTTAAAAAAGTAGATTTTTAGGTGTGGTGTTGATGTACCAAATCTTATTGATGTAGGCCTATCTATTGTCGTTTAGAAAATATTAAAAAAGTAGGTTTTTAGGTGTGGTGTTGATGTACCAAATCTTATTGATGTACCTGTTGTCGTTTAGAAAATATTAAGCCTGTGCGGGACTTTATATACACCCTGTATATTTTTTTACTATTTGACTCAAAATATAGTGTGCTATGTTGAAAATTAGTCCAAAGCATACAATCATCAGTATACAAAAAACTGTTTGAAAAAATACCATCTGATGAGCTTCAAGTTTTCAAATTTGTAGACGAGTTTTTTATAGATTAGAAATTGAATTGCCATCTTGAAATTACAAAAAGGTCGGTAATAATATAATATCAGGGTGTCCTCTTTTATTTGCTTAGCTTTAGGTTCTATAATTAACTTGGTCTATATTTTTCTTGTATTATAAACAATGTATTACAATAAAAAGGTATTAGGTGGTTCCCCTACAGGCCTAAATTGGCCTTACCCTCTAGTTGTTACTGTAATTTAATTTATTCATCAAATTAATTGACTTAAGGTTATTATTGTTAGATTTTCTACATCCAGTTACAAAATATTGCACCATTCCATTATAATTAATAAATGTCAGTGGAATTGAAAAACACCATGATTAACTATTCTAAACAAATTATTGCACATAGTTCAATCTTCAGAAAATACTTGTAAACACAACAGATGAATCCCTGATATACATTTTACTAGGTAGGGTTAAGTGCTTCACCATTTTAAATTCAAGCAAGTACAAAACTTAATATCTGACTTAGTTTCCAATATGTTTAACATACTTACCAATGTATTTAAAAGTTAAAATTCACTAAAATTTTGAAATTATCAAAGGTTTTTCACTATTCAATCATCATCTATCAGTATTTGTTTGTAAATAGCTGTAAGCCTCATATTATCAACAATAAGAGGAAACACATGGTATAATTGTACACACATGGTATGCAATTAATTCTATGTAATAAATACAGTAAGATGGGAAGCAAAATACAACCACAAAACTATATTTTACTATATCATCTTCTTGTCGTTGTGTAGTTAAACACAAAAAAAATAATTCTTATGAAATTTTATTCAAAATAATTAGAGTATGTAGTTAAAGATAATTTATGTAACAAAGGTATACACATTGCACAGGTTAGTAATATAAAATGTAGACTGTACAAAAATCACATATATTTTAATTATTTTTACAATAGTTGCTTAAATATATACAGAAACTTATGGCTAATAAATATACAATAAAAAGTTGCAAATTAAAGCTGTTATGTCCTAATCAACACTTATCCAGTGAGTAATTCGAAGACAAATTTAAATTAAGTTGAAAACTCAATTAAGTTTTGGACATAAACTAAATTAAAAGTTTGAAAATAGAAACTATTTAACCGCTAACTGTTTGTATGGCAGACATTTTTAAGTGTTGAAGTTAACTTTCACTGTTTTAACGCTCAGTTTATCAGTCTTCAATTTCTCTTTTTGGTCACAAAGTTAACGGATCTCCAAGTACTGATTGACAATGTAGTCCAAGATGTTGATATGATCGAGAGAGCATTTGGGGTCGATGCAGCCTCCCAAAAAACTCTCAGTATCACAGACTTCTCTGGGCTGAGCAGGTGTTGGAACTTCTTCTTCTGGTGGACTCTGCAAGAGTAAAAATTGACATTAAAAAATAAAACATTTTTGTACACTTCAAATTATACAAGAACAACAAATAACCCAAGCAAATATGCAGCAAACCTGCTGACTAAGTGAATTTCCATTTGCCTGATTGGAATACCACTTAATTAATATTTCCTTAAACATGTTACATTTATTCTGTATTTAAATAACACTAGTTGCTCTGCCCGTGCTTCGCTACGGGGTGAGAATGCAGAAAAGAATAATTTGGTTTTACTTTAAGATACTGTAATATACTATAAGGAAGTTACAACACACTTACCAGGAAACATATAGGCAAAGGCTCAATCATACTTATTAATTATTTAAATGAATATCTCTTAATGTATTACAATACCATCATTTTATATAGTGTATATCATTTAAAATATACGCAAAAGTATAACTTATTGACCACATGGCACTAAGAAACAATTCTCCTTGTAAACAAATTAAATTAAATAAATAGCAGAACAGCATTTCTGACAACAGCTGGAGTTTCATAACAATGTTTGTTTCCCATGTTAATCTTATGGAGAAATACGAAACTTTAAAGGGCCCCAGGGCCTCACTCTCTAATTATTTCCCTATAAAAAAAGTTTCCTGCACAACTTCACGTAACGCTCTTTCCAATGACACCAAAAACATGGCAATCGGTTCAGTGGTTTTGGAGGAGTAATTGTCACAAAAAATCTGCTTGCGTATTAAATAAGTATAGATTAGGTTAAGTGCTTAGGTTTGCTGCTACAGGGAGTGTAATGACGTGTGTTTTTCAGTAAAGTATTAATAGCTTAGCATAAAATAAATAGATTTGCCAAGCTTGATAAAATATATCCATAAACAAGCAAACTACAACAGTTTAATAACAGTTTTATAACAGTTATCCTCCATAAGGATAACATAGGAATTTTAAATTGATAATATATTTTTGTCTGTAACCAATAACCATACAAGATCACTTCAATATACTAAATTATTTGTTGTTTTTTTATGCTCTTCGAAATGGTTTAGAGAGAAATTGAGAAATTTTATGTTTTGACGGTAAAAAATGTGAAACCCCAATATTTACCTCATGAACCCCCATTCCCATGGTCCGATCATGTTGAAATAAATGTAGGTTTATTAATTTGGACCAAATTTCATCAAAATCAGATGATTTTTAATCGAGTTATCGTTCTAACAGGCAAAAATATACAGAATTTGAACGGATGGTGTTTTTGGTTTTTGGGGACAGCCAAAAGAAAAAAATTAATCAGTCCCAGGTCCAGGTCTTACTATGAGACCAACGGTAACACCTTTTTCCCTATATGGGAAATCCGATAAAACACGGTGATTGTTAGTTTGACATATTTACATCTATTAGGCTAAAACTTTGAAATAAGAATAAGAATAAGAATAAGAATAAGAATAAGAATATTTATTTCCAAAATTACAAATTACAAAAATTACAATCGTGGCTGTAAAGCAAAGTACAAAAGGAAAAAAATCCCCACAAAGACTGTACATCTGCGTGTGGGGAGAGTCTTCTCCGTCGCTCACCACTTCACAGACAAGATAACAAAATAAACAAATAATTACTCGTATTTAAATAAAAAGAAGTATTTTTTTTGCCATATTGTTGGCAAAAAAGACTGAACATGAACAATATTTGAAGTCCCAGTCTTATGAACAGTGGCGGTAAAGAGGAAGTATCATGGTACTGTGGAGAAGAGGCAAATTTGATAATACAGTCATCTCCCAAAGAGCAGGATTTGACAGACTAATTTGACATTGAAATTTGAAAACTTACTTTCTAAGTTATCCAGTAGATTGGTTTGAATTAAGGATTATATTGATCTACCGACTTTGTGAGTGTTTTGTTCAAGAGAAATTAATAGTTTTATTTACAACAGTGTTACACAATGAGTTTCTACAAGCTCTAAAAAACAAAATCAGGTTTTTAAGGGATTTTCACAGATACTTAGTGTGAAATAATGGTAAATTTCACAGATACTTAGTGTGAAATAATGGTAAATTTCACAGATACTTAGTGTGAAATAATGGTAAATTATGCAAACTTCTGCTAAGCGAAAAATTCAGTAAGGTTTACCTTTTTGTAGTAAAGTATGTTAAATATTTACAAGACACTATTTTCAGCTAAAGAAAGTTAGTTTGTCTACATTGAAAATTGCAGTCCACAGTGAGATGAAATTAGTTAACATGACAACTCCCAGTAACCTCTAAGGGAGGGTTTACCTAACAGCTGAATACAGCTGCATTTTTTTCCAACCGAACACAAAAGGGTCATGTACAGGTGCTTTCCTACCAGATGAGTTTGACAAGAAAAACTCAGAGCGTAGAAACACAAAGACTTGCATGATATTTTCATTCCGCAGCCTTATTCTAAAAACAAATCGGCAGCAATATCACCCCCAATCTCACGTATGCAAAAACTTAAAACAAAAAACCCAGATAAGCATCAAATTTTTAGACACCAATAACTTCCCGGGTAAAAAAAACATTTACATTGAATTACAAATAAAATGGATTTTCAGGAGCATTCAGGACCCAACTGAAATATCGAAGATTCTGAAAGATCGGGGATTTTTAGAAGCTGTCACCAACACACTGAAAGGATGAATTTGTACATTATGATACTGAATCTGAGTACCAAATCACACACCTCTGGCTGAGGAATGATGGTGTTGACTCTGGTGACGATGGAATACTTGTCTGTAGATCCTCCACTGGCAATCAGCTGTGTTACCAGTTCCACAGGTCTTTTAAGTCGAAACACACACAGATGCTGATTGGACACTTCTCCTGGAGCCGCAGATTTATCTCGCATACCAAACAGACGCCAGCCGAGGTCAAACTCCTTTGTCATCCTGAACAGATTGTTTCAAATTCAATTATTTTTTTACTCTCTAACAACAAATTGAACTAGTGCAAGGCTAATTGGTGATTGGTGGGATTTCAACCCAAGACCCTTAGGTACGAAGCATTATGTCCCACCACAAGAACAGGTCGCTCCTAGTACAGCTACAAGTAATGTAACATCACCCATAAACTTAATATTAATATAGATTTTGAACGTCACATACAGGTGAAAACCACTTAGAATAGGCCTAGTCGTAAAGGAAGTGTAAGATTTGAACTAGCTCGCTTTGTAGTGATACAAACTCGTTGGTGTTCTCAATTTACAAGCAACCCTTATATTACTAAATTTGTTGAATGCTTGGTAAAAAATAGAGTAACAACATTTCTCCATTATTTAAGTTTTAAATTTATAAAATTACTAGGCCTTCTTTTTGTTGTAAAGTAAAAAAATATTGGTGTTTAATGTGTAATAGAATTAAACACAATAATCACAAATACACAAGGTTCTTACTTGCGAATACACTCCCTTTCATGATTGGTAAAGTCGGAAGCCAGGAAAAATATATCTTCAGTTCCCTTATCCTCCACGAACATCCTCAGTAGTATTCCGACCACCTGTTCATTCAATGGATTCTTGTTTGTGTCCATGTTCATTATTCTGAAACATTTAAACAAATTATAAACAAACTTCTTTTGTTTTTTCTACTTATTTACTCAATTTTACTGGATACCAAATGAGAGATTTACTCTTTTTGGTTGTTACCAATAGGCTATGCACAATTAAGCAACAAGAAATCCGGTAGTGAATTGTGAATTGAGATTGGGTAATATTTTGCTCAGTTCATAGGTTAAAACCTTTTAGTAAAGCCGTGTCTACACAAGGCCAGTTGGCGGACAAGTTAATTGCCTCAGGTCACATGAAATGATGAAATACATTAGAGGCAAGTAACCTGCCCTGTTACCTGCCTGCTGCACCGGCCTCGTGTAAACACTGCTTAACAGATGGAAAAAAAGCTTTTGAGCAACAAAATCATACAACTCCATACATGATTTTGTTTTATGTTTACGATTTATTAACAATAGAGTAAATCTATAACCAAACTCAAACTCACTCATAAGTTCGTGTTTTTGTTGGATGTCTGAGGGAGATGAATGTAGGTACTCCTCCTTCTGCGAAGTAATTGAAGTTTGGCTGCAAAACAAATAATAGTCCCAATAAAAAAAAATCTTTTTATGTCAATTTATATTGACAAATGGTGAAAAATGAACCTTTTTTTAGAATTTTTGGCCTTAAATTATCAGACTTAATAGAGGTGCTAAGGCAGTTTACTGCAGCATGAAATTTTATTTTCTTAAATTTAATATGC